AGTGTACAGTATGTGGAAAATAATGTGTTTTTTGAACCTTAAACCGCATAAACACATTTCATTACACCAAATACACAAAATAATGTTCTTTTTAGCAACGTCATATGGCCCCTTTAAAGGGATAGTTCAGCCAAAAATTTAACTTCTGTCATCATTTACTCACCATCATGACACAAAATAATGTATTTTGAAGAATGACCAAGCTCTTTATTTCTATACAATTCACAAATACAGTGAACACAGGACGTCAAGTTTGAAAAATGACAGAAAGGCAACTTTTATGCCATATTGCAAGTCTTGTGAAGCCATAAAATAGCTTTGTTTGAGGAATGGCAGTAAATTTGTTGTTATTTATTTAAATATGCGCATATGCAAATGAGATTCGAGAGCTAGTACCATTCAAAAGTTTGTGGTCAGCAAGATTTTTTAATGTTTTTGAAAGATGTCTTTTATTTTCATTAAAGCTGCATTTATTTGATCAGAAATACAGTAAAAACTGTGAAATGTTATTACAATTTAAAGTGAATGTTTTCTATTTGAATATATTTTAAAATGTAATTTATTCCCGTGATGAAAGCTATCATTACTCCAGTCTTCAGTGTCACAATGATCTTTCAGAAATCATTCTAATATGCCGATTTGCTGCTGAAGAAACGTTTCTTATTATTAATAATTTTGGAAACAATTATGCTGCTTAACATTTTTGTGGAAACTGTGATACCTTTTTTCAGAGTTTTTACTGTTTATTAAATTCATAAATTAATAAAATGATACATTTCTTAAGTTCTAAAGTTTAAGTACAAAATAAAAAATCTTTTGAACAATAGTGTATGTTTTATGCATATTTAAATATATGCAGAACTTATAACTAAATAGAGGTCACCATTATTTGAATGTTTACTGTATTCTCTTTGAACTCATGTATAATTTATGATATAATATAATATGCAATATGATGTAATCGAATAAAAGTACTTGTTATTCTGCCCTGCTGTTCCAATTTAATATCTGTGTCTGTCTGTGGTGCGGTCATGTTATCGTGCACCAGTCTCAGTGTATTGATTTGCGTATTGATTTTGTCTCGTTCAGTGCCCCCGAAACCCCCTCATCTCCAGCAGCAGAGCGCTCGACGG